ACTTTGACATTTTCTCTGTTAAACGCATAACTACGATAGGCTCAGCCATTCAATTCCCCCGGTACTTACCCAAGAGAAAAGGAAATAGGTATTTTAACAAAAATGTGTATGCAAATGTCCAGAGCAGCTTTATTTTTAATAGCTAAAAGCCAGCAACAACCCAAAAGATCCCCCACAGGTGAACCAATAAACAAACGCAGCCTCCCTACCTGAGGCATTATTGCTCTGTAATCCAGAGGAACAAAGGGTCTTAAATTAGTGGTGCTGAGTGACAGAAGCCAGATTTTTAAAAAGAATATGTGCTATGTGAGTCCAGTTATATAAAATTCCAGGGAATGAAAAATAATTTACAGTGACATAATGCAATCAATGGTTTTGAAAGTAATTAAAATGTGTTTATCCCAACTATAGCGATGGCTTCAGGATTATATGCATATGTCAAAACTGCCCCAATTATATACTTTTAAAATGTGTGAATTTTAGTACTTCAAACGCACCTCAATAAAGTTGAGGAGAAAAAGGAATAGCATTATTTCCATACCAATGTTAAATATTCAGTCATGTGACACCCCAAGTCACGTCCTGTACCACACAGTGTTCTGGAACCCTTCCCCCCAGACCTCCAGGTGTATCTCTCTAAGGGCTGGGAGATGCTCAGCCTTCCCACAGCCTGCCGAGAGTTACAGGATGGGGGCGTAAGGCACTCACTAGTTGGTGACTGTGAATGTCACTTGACTACAGGAAAAGCAAACCCATGAGTTATAGGAGCACTACAGAGAGGAATTCTGTCCTGATCCAGCTCCCTCTGAAATCAGAATGGGCACAGAGGGCTCATGAGTTGTCACTCTAATAGGGGCTGACATCTCAGGAAGAAGAAAGGAAGGACAAGAATTGAGCTTGTCAGGGAAGGCTGTGGATGAAGGCTGATCAGAAGGGTACCAGGAAGTCATGGCAGACCGTACCCTCTGACACCAACTCTGCCTCGGATGTCTCTTAGCGGCAGTGGAGAGAAAGGAGAACATTTATGCACTGGCTCCCATTTCCCATTGGTCAAAGTTTTGAATTGGGTGCTAACACAGATCGTGAAAGCAATACAGAATCGTGGATTATCTGTTTAACCATCCTGCCATTGTGTGAGCAAGCTTTGGCTTCCTTTCCTAGTGGACATCTGTAATTGGCTCAGGGCTTAGCATGTGACTTGTGATGGCCCAATCTGAGCCAGGGACCATCATCAGGACTTTGTAGGAACAATTCAGAAACAACCTAGCTGTTTCCATGGAGATTGCCAAAGGGGTAGAATGGGAGCCTGGAACTTCTGAGGCTGTCACTGTCACATCCGAGGAAAGGCTGCCTGAGAATGCCTGATACAAGGAAGAAGAGCTAGGAGGTGGAGCAAGCTCTTGACATCATTTGAGCACCTGGATCCAAATCTTTTTTATTTTTTAGATCCTGTCCTTTGACTTTTCAGTCACTCAAGCCTTTTCTGTTTAGGGCAGCTTGAGCTAAGCTTCTGCCTCTAGTGACAATAGGACTCGAAGGCCACCTTGTATCCTGAGGACCTCAGCAGTGTCTGATACAAAGTCAGGGTTAGGGATCAGAATTCCTCGGAACACCTAGAATATCTTCTTTGAACACTGACTTCCTTGGGAAACCCTTTCATTCCTGTGGCACAGTGCTCACTGGTCAGCGAGTACAGTCTGGGACCAAAAGCCTGCGTCCAAATCTAAGCTCAGCCAGTTACTAGCTATGAGAGTAGGAGAAAATTGCTTACTCGTTTTGTGTTTCAGTTTCAACAAGTCTAAAATGAAATTAATACTACTACTTCATGGGGTCACTCTGGGATCTTTAAGTGAATCGATATACATAAAATACGCTGGAGCCCTGCATATAGTTAGCACTCTATAAAAATCACTGATGCCCTCATGGACTGAGGATGCTTGCGTCTGTATCTCAAATTCACAGCGTCTTCCAGGATCCAGGCCAATAGACGGACATCATTATCTGGACCTAGACTGGGCCCGTCCTCCCCTGCCTCCCAGTCCCAATTCAGCATCTGGGTCCCAAGCTCCGCCCGAGGCCCTCGCTCCCCCCAGATGCTCATACCAGAAACTGGGGACTCTTCCTGGAATGCCCTGCCCTGCCGTCTGCATGCAGGCTCCTCCAAACCCTGTGATTCAACCTTCTCAGTGTTATCTCTGGACACTCGCTATACCAGGCACGGTCCACGAGCCTGTAGCATCTGCAGCAAACGCTCAGCTCGCCTGGGATCTCTGTGGTTAAAATCCTCCATAATCCACATGGACATTAAACTTTGAGAACCCTGCTCCTGCAAACTTTCTGATTTTCTTAACCTTAGCTGCACACTGACATCATCTGGGAGCCTTTAAAATATACAGATGCTGGGTGCCACCTTCAGGGCCTTGCGTTTCAGAGACAACAGTCCTCTGTCCTTCAGGAACCCAGTCGCCATCACCTAGATAGCCAGCATGACCTCCTATAGATTGCACCAAGCATACGCAGAAATAAAGCAGTTATTTTCTCTCACTGTCCTAACTTGCTCATGAGTCTCCTTGACCTGGGAAAACAAAACAAATTTGATTTTAACGAGGAAGGATCTCTCCATTTAGACAATTATAGTGCATGACCATAATCTCAGCACTCTGGGCAAGAAGACTAAAAGTTTGAGTCTAGCCTGGGCAACTTAGCTACTTATGAGGATGCTGTCTTAAAATAAAAAATTTAAATGGCTGGAATGTAGCCATTTCAAAGGTCCTGGGTCCACTTCCGGGTTTATCCTTGTCTCAGGTTACCGTGATTTCTTCGGAAGACAAGATCTGTGTTCAAGAGCTCCCCCCTGCCCCTCCCATCTCTCTTCCCGAGACAGTGGATGCACTCAGGAGTGTGTTCATGCCCAGGGGATGGCAGGGGAGAGTGGACACTTGTCCTCAAGTGTCCTGTCTGCCTCTGCAGCCCCGGGCATCCTGACTCACTGGTTTCTGACGTTGGTATCTATGTCCCAGGAGTCTTTTGGTGCTGGCTGGGTCCAGCCTGGCCTGAGAGTAAATATCTATGTTCCCTATTCCTGATGCTGGCCCTTCCATTGCCCTTCTGTAACCACCCAGTCCTGATGCTCTCTGGCCCTCTGAACCTGCCCAAGACGCACAGGCTGTGTGAATGTCACTCACAGACCTCCGGGACAGGCAGGACAGTCGCCTTTGGTGTGGTCACTGCCCTGGCCGTGCCTGAGAGCATCTATCTTCTCTCCCCAGGAGACCCACCAGAGGGCCTGCCTGGCCGGTCCCCACACCTGCCCCTTCTTCCTCTCAAAGGGAGGCTCCTGCCTCCCCGACCTGGACTCCCCTCTGAGGCTCACCCACGCTCTGGCTTACGCTGATTAATTTGGGCCTTTGAATACAAAAGATAGTGGAACTTTAAAACAAAACAAAAACAAAATGCTTTTTTTTTTTTTTTTTCTGCACAAGGCTGACTTTTGAGACATTTATTTCCCTGCCCACTTATAAATTTGTTTGTTTGTGGTATTGGAGGTTGAACCTAGGATCTCCACACTGAGCCACATTTCATATCACAACTTGCCAGGGGTTGTGACGCACATAGGAAATCCCAGCATTCTGGGAGGCTGAGGCAGGAGGATTTCAAGGTCAAGTCCAACTCAGGCAGTTTAGCAACCTAGTGAGACTAGCTCAGCATTGAAAAGAAGAATAATTAAAAGGGGCTGGGGGTGTAATTCGGTGCATTTGCCCTGGGTTCAGTCTACAGTACCTTCTCCAAAATCGCTATCTGCCCATCTGAGTCTCCATTTCGTACACACACTGCCCTCCCCTTCCTTCCCCTTCTGACTCAAGCCTGCTGAGAGAGACTCAGTTTAAGCCCTGTACCCTAACACAGCCATTCCTGACTCAGAGACTGGGTTAGGGACCCACGCTCTGTGGTCACAGGACACTTCCTGCATACTCTTAAGACTCTGTAATGCTTTGCTTACTTTCCATTTCCCCTCAAGACCACAACAGAACTTTAGCACAATGTCGTTGACTGACTACAGGAGCCCTCTGCAAATGTTTGTTGAATGAACGAATGAACAAAGGATCCGTGAAGAGTTTGGTGGGGCAGGGTGTGGTTTTGCACGGAAGAGAAGATGTTGAGCAAAGACTAGGCAGAAATCTGGGGGAAAGCCATGTGGAAAAGGCTGAATCCCAGAGCACAGAGGGGATTTAGAGAAGAGAAAAGGATATGTAAAGATCTGGTTGGTGGGACTCACCCAGGCAAGGGTGACACATCACACTGGTGCCCGGGGTGGGGGCAGAGAGAAAACGGCTGCTGTGACCACACTCAGGAGCCATTGACAAGTATTTCCCAGGTGCCAATCGTGCTGGCAGCACCGTGGGAGATGGGGGGTCTGAGAGGTTCGAGCTGCTCCCTCTTCTCCCTGCCCCACCTCTCTGGCCGCCCCCCACATTTGTCTCCGCCTCATCGAGATTGGTCCTGTATTGACAGTTCCTGTCTGCACCCCGACAGCCAGGAAAAACGGCCCTGCTGAGAACCCGACGGCAGCTGGATTTATGACTGCATCTCCGGGAACCAGGCTGCCAAGACGCACGGCCCCCCTAGCACACACAGCTCCCGGTCGGAAAATCCAGCGTGGAGCCAGGAGGTCAGGGCCGGTCCCGCGCACCAGCGCTTCCCGCTGTCCACTCCGTGCCAGCCGCTGAGGACACGGCTGCGAGTGAAATGTCATCCTCGCTCTCTGCAGCCCTCTGAGCGGCCAACAAACATCACTAAATACCTTCCATGTGTACTCAATCATGTTGGTTGAGTTTTCGTTATTTAACAAACACTTACATCGTGCTGACCGAGTGCCAGGAAATGTTCTAAGTACTTTGCAAAGATTAACTAAGTGATCCTCCCAGCAACTATTATGATTCCCATTTTGCCAATGCGGAGAGAGGCACAGGAACTTGCCGGAGAGGTCACACGGCTGGTAAGTGGCAAAGCCAGAAGGCAAACCCAGGCAGTCAGCCCAGGTTTGTCCTCAGATCCCTGGCATGACAGTGCCTTGTTTTTGTAGCTGGAGAGCTTCATGTAGTCATTCAGCAAACATTTAGTGAGCTCCTCTGTGTGCCAGGTATCGTGCACGCTGGCTGGGGTGCAGAGAGTAATTCCTTCTAACTGTGAGCCTCCAGGACCCTGGGCAAAGGGTATGCCGCGTAGGAGGAGCTTGCTCCTGTTTGTTGAGTGACTGGGAGTGCTAGGTATTTGAAAGATTGCTGAGCTTAGGGCCTGAGAACTTGGATCCCTGCTGCCGGGAAGGAAAATGTTATGACAAGCTCATCCATATTCAGGTATGTTATATATCCCAGGGGGCTTGTATTTAAAGAGTGCAACTGAGATAAGGCAATAATATCCTCCAAAAGAATGAAGTATTAGTGGTGGAATTCCAGGCATCCACAAAGGAGATAATTTGGTGGCTGGGTGGCCCCCCATCACACCCTCTCGTTGACGACCTCCTCTAAGGGTGTGGGAATGCAGCAAACATTGTCTGCCTAGCCGGTGCCAAGCGCTCTGCTTGGGGCTGAGTCACTAGCTGGTCACATCGGAACCTCCTGAGGAGGTCCGCAGCCACGTCACTGGGGAGAGCCATGCTGTGTGGCAGCAGAGACAGGACCTGGCCCTCTGTGCCACCAGAGGCAGCCTGGGCTGGGCCTGGAGGGGGTGCCCTGAGCTGGTGGAGGAGACGGGAAGCACTCAGGCTGGGCTGCTCTGACCTTGATGTGGGGAGTACCAGGCTCCCAGCTGCACCCCACAGTGTTCACCAGAGTCGCCTCACAAGCAGACAGAGGTGGTCACTGTAGCAGAGGTTTCTCAGGAGGCATCTGAAGCCCCTGGGACACCCAGACCTGTCCCTGGGGGTGCAGGAAAGGACAGACTCTGCATGGCTCCCAACCTGTCCAGAAGGCTGTGTTGTGCTGCCTGAACAGGGCTCTGCCTCTGAGCCCCAAGGCCCATGGGAACTAGCAGCAATGGCATCTTCCCACATTCACTTGGCTTAGCTGGAGGGGACAGGGACTGCAGGCCTCCCTGAAGTATGGGCCTCCTGCCTTGATACAGTGACGCCCAAGGGTACCTGGCCCGTGGCACCTTGGCCAGCCCAGTGGGGCTATAACCTTCCCTCCTCCACTGAGGAAGAGAGGCCCAGCGAGGTGAAGCCTCCTACCACCATGGTCGGCAGCAGGCAGCTGTTTCTGCCCGTCTGTTGCTCAGGTACAAGGCCACAGGGCCCTGCTCCCACCTGCTGGGGACGGATTCCAGGCCCTAGCACTGGTGACTGTCTACGCCGAGCTGTGTTTAGACATCTAGTCTAACTTTAACAAGCCTTCTGGGGTCAGACCCTTTCTGCGAAACTTTTAGCAGACTTGTGCACAGAAACACATGCACACGTGTGGCCAGGGCAGGCTCTGCCCCACCCCATGAGCTCTCCAGGAGCTCCCAGAAAGCTGGCAGAGACGGTTAGATCCACCCTGGCCTGGGTGGGGTGGGGTCTGTGGCGAGAAGGCCAAAGCAGGCAGTCACAGTACTCAAGAGTGCATTCAGCGATCCGCCTAGCACAGCACAGAGCGCCCTGCTTTCCCTTATGCATCAGCTATGATCTTAGAAACACGAGGGACAAAGTGACCCTAGACACTGGCCACCAGGGAGATTACTGCGACCAACTTTGTCACCATGGGCAGAAAATCAAAGGCACAGCCAGGATCAGAGAATTGCCAGTGACACCAGAATCCAGCTCTGTCCAGCCCCCAGCCCAGAGCTGTGGCTCTAGTTGAGCCTCTAGAAGCACTGAGGCCACCATGATTTCCAGTGCAGACCGCCAGGCTGGGACACCCTGCCCCGTGCCCATCCACGCCTGCTCAGGGATCCTGCATGCCGGCCCTAACCTTGCTTCCCTAACCCTGGCCTTATAACCAAAATAAACATTTTTCCTAAACTTCATTTCAGCACCAAACAGGAAACAGACACCCTTCTGATTTATTCTCGACATGCTAGTGGTTCGGTTGGAGGACAGGCCAAGTCGCTGCAGAGGAACAGGCGCTCTGAACCCTGAGATCCTGGGCCGGGCCAGGTGTCGGTTTCATCATGATGCCAGGCTCCTGCCCAGCCAGGGAGCAGGAGAGGATGTCTCAACCGCCAACGCCCACGGGCCCTGAGCTGAGAGCCTTCCATTAGCTCTGGGAGGGAGGCCTGTCTCAAGACAACAAATTAAGAGGGAAAAAGTGCAAAGCTGGGGAGAATTCTACAGCCTGCCTGGCCCTGCCAGCTGGTCAGCATCCAGCCACGGCAGCCAGACCCCAGGGCCGGTGCCCACCCAGTCAGCCTGGCCCTGCAGAGCTGCCCCCACCAAGCACATCACCTCTCCTGGGCTTCTCTGTCTCCAGCTGCTCTCTGCACACCCACCGAAGCCCTAAGCTGAGTCAGTGTCACCCCTGGCCTTTGACCATATTGCAAGGCCTTGGCAGATGGAGAAAGATTTAACGTTCCTTCCCGGGATCAGACTGCAATGGGAAAGACCTAGTTTCTCATCCCTTCAATCAATATGAAGAGATTCTCTACTCTCTTGAGGATACAGACAGAGTTGAACAGAGCAGTAATTCCACCATGTGGATGGGTTTGGAGAAGCAGAGGTGTCGGTGGTCAGCAGCCGGACTAGACATCAACACTGCGCGTCCAGGATGTGTCACCTACAGCAAGTTCCTTAACCTCTCAAGGCTCCGTTTCCTGTCAGTAACATGGAGTACGGATCGTGCCTTTCTCCATCAAACAGTTGCTGGACAGGTGAACGAGTTACTAATTTGAGATATGTAAGCCTGGTACATGGCCCGGTCAAACAATGGAAATGAATGACCCCTCATAGCTGCAGCAGAGGCGTAAGCAGAGTTGTGTAGGAGGAGCCCAATTCTCAGGGCCCCAGGGGACCAGGCTCGCCTCCTGGGAGGATGTGGGTACAGTCAGAGGGGAGCCTGGGCTGACACACAGCGGTGAGGATGGCCCGACCCGCTAGGAGCCCAGAGCCCAGACAGGAACCAGACAGACGAAAGTTCTCTGCAGTCAGGACCAAGCGTAGGTTCCAGGAGGGAGGAAAGTTGCACGAGGTATCAGATTATCAGGGACCAGGCAAACGGCAGGGCTCAAGATCCCAGAGCCACAGGCAGAGAGCTCCCCAGCACCCCAGTAGACACTGTGCCCTGCATTCTGTTTCCGTGCTTCCTGCTGGGAGGGTGGGAGCTTGGGGGAGGCTGAGGTCATGGATAATTGCAGTGGTCACTGTGGTTACTTCCCCTCCCCCACAACAGCTGCCCAGTGCCCTGATGGGGTGGTTCTCACCCTACCTCCAGGGTAACTAATTGTGGACACCCCCCACTACCCTTAGTGCTGTGTATTGGAAATGGTCTCGCAGTGCGTGGCTCAGCATACCTGTCCTGTGGTATGGGAAAAGTTTCTCTCCCCAAAAGAGGAAAACAAAGGAATTGCATCACACTGGTTTCTGCTGGCAGCCTTCCTCTGACTTTGAAATACAATGGAAGCCCTGGGGGGCAAAGGACAAAGAAGCAGAGAAACAAAGTTAAATCCTGATCAAACTGTGCCTGATACCCACAGTGCCTTCAGTCTTGATACACACGAAAATAAATCTCAAAGTTAAGTTAAGTTAGGGTGGTAGGCAGAATATTGACCTCCCCGGATACCCAGGCAATATCCTTAGACACTGTGAATCTGTTCATTTCAATGGCAAAAAGACTTTAGATATGACTGAGGATAAGGATCTTGATAGGGAAGGATTATTGCGGATGCCCAGGTCGGCCAATCTGATCATACAAATTCTCAGGCTTGGAGAACTTTTCCAAGCCAGGGTCAAGGGAGATGGACCAGGAAGAGCAGTCAGAGAGATGCCACACTGTTGGCTTGAAAGATGGGCCAAAGACCTGGGGTATGGGCCAGGGATCTGGGCTCTGGAAAAAACAAATCCTCCCCAACAGCCCAGGAAGTACAGCAGCCCTGCAGATATCTTATTGTAGTCAATCAAGAGACAAAGTGAACTTCTAGCCTACCGTAACCTACTAGGACTGTGACATTAATCAGTTTGTACACTTTAAGCCATCAGGTTTGTGGCAACTTGTTAGAACAACGACAGGAAATAAAAGCAGGCTTTCAATGACTTGTAACCCGACCCATCCCGCAGTTCTCATAACCATACTAACCGTAGCTAACAGTTTTTAAAAGCAGTTTTCTCTAGGGCTGGGAATTTAGATCAGCAGCATAAGCACCTGCCTTGTAAGCAGGTGGTCGTGAGTTCGATCCCGTACCAATAAAAAAAAAAGCACTTCTCTCTCAACCTCTCTTTCTACATGATATCTAATTAATCACTACCATACTGCAGCTATCAGGCCCATTTTATAGAGGAGAAAACTGAGGCTCAGAGAAGTGAATTAGGGAGTGGGGTGCCTGGGTTTGAATCGAAGCCCGCATTACTCTGGCATCTGTCCACTTCCCTCTGTACTTGGATGCTCTCAGCCACCCCCATGGTGGAGCCTGGCTTTCCTGTACCCCAAGAATGGCTGGTGTGAAATGGTCCTTTGCCAAATCTTCCCTGCAGCTGCCCCGTTAACCTTGAGACTCACACTCCCAGCTCTCTCCTTTGTCCACAGGGCTGTTGTTTAAAAATCACCATCCTTGCTGGACCGGGTGGTGCACAACCATAATCCCAGCACTCAGGAGGCTGAGGCAGGAAGATCATAGCAAGCTGGACACCAGCCGAGGCTACATTGTGAATTTGGGGCCAGCTTGAACTACTCAGCAAACCCTGTCTCACCACCACCACCACAAACCACCAGCCTTACGGATGAACTTTCATTGTATTTATAAAATCCAAAACATCCTAGAAGAGAAAGACTTCCCCTCTCCAGATGTGCGACCTCAGTGATGTTTCTTGAATGTTAATGAACACACGGGCCTCCCTGCAGGCCTAGCCAACTCCTGGGGGACAGCAGCACCAAGCTGGGCCCACCATAGTTTGATAAGCAAGAGTCTACATGGCCCAAATAGAGGAGTATTGGGAAACCTGGAGATACCTGGGGTTAGCTGGCTGTCTTGGGTGAACTCAGGAAGCACAGGTCCCCGCAGAGGGTTGCCAGGAGTCCCAATAGCTCGTCACTGTCACCTCCTCTGCCCTTGTCCCTGCCCCATTGGCAAACCCATCAGCTCCATCTTCAAAATCTATCTGGTGCCGGACATGGTGGTGCACGCCTGTAATGCCAGCACTCGGAAGGCTGATGCAGGAGGATTGTTGTGAGTTCGAGACCAGCCTGGGCTACAAAGTGAGCTCGAGGCCAGCCTGAACTGCATAGTGAGACCCTGTCCCAAAACAAACAAACAAACAAACGAGAATAAACTAGCTGGGACCCACTTACCACCTCTTCACCACTGTTTGTCATGAGATCAGAGCCACCGTCCCTCTCAACCCATCCCTTGGCTCCCACTTGCACGCTGGCTTCCCTGTGGTCCAACTTCCACACAGTAGCCAGAGGGACCCTTTGAAAAATGGACATGGGATCCCTTTCTCCCCCTGCTCAAACCTCCAGTGGAGCAAAGCTCCTATGTAACGTGGCCGCCATCTGTCTCTGCCTCTGCCCCTCCAAACGATCCCTTTGCTCCTTCCCATCCACCATACCTGCCTCTTTCCAGTGCTTCACAGCTTGTCTGTCACATTCCTGCCTCTGGGCCTTTGCACTTACTATTCTTCCAAATATTCCCGAGGCTCAAATCATTTTAAAACTCCCTTTTCAGAGAGTCCATCTCAAACCATCCTGTCTAAAACAGCACTCTCTGACCTGCCACTCTGTTTTCTGCCCCAGCTGTCATCACCCACTGGCCAGGAAGGCCTGGATATGACTCCCAGTCGGGCATGACCACAGATGTGGCAGAGGCCAGACTGCCCAGAGCGGCTGGACTCTGCTGAAACTGACAAGATGAAGTTCAAGCAAGATCTGCATCGTCCTTTGCTTGACCTGAAGCATCAAGCCTTGCAGTTTACCCAAAGGAAATCATATAAAATACGGTGGAGATTTATGTCTGAAACGGGTTGCCACAGTCTTACTGTAATTAGTGCAAAACCAAAAACAGTTCCACCTTCGGCAAGAGGACCTTAAAGAAGTCAGATCTCACAGACCCACAAGATGGATTCTCAGTCTTGGCAGGGGTGACACTTGTGGCCAGAGGGTCTGCGGTGGGTCCTGCCCTGTGCGTCCGTCACAGATGTTCAGCTGCCATCAGCAATGCCACTCACCCACCTGCTGTGACAACTACAAAGCCCTCCAGACATTGCCAACTGTCTCCTGGGAGCAAAGTCACCCTGGCTGAGAATGAATATTATTCATTGAAGAAAATTAATATATTCTCTTCAGATCTTGGAGGATGCTTATGATATTATACTGCGTTAAGAAAAAAGGTGCTACGTGTGTTTTCACTATGTTTGTGTACAGGAGAGAAAAAAGATTGAATGGGAAATATACCAGGAGGGCAGCCAGGATTTCCGGGTGGTGGAATTAGGAAAGATTTTTTTTCTTGCGTTTTTACCTTTGATTTTATACGCTCATGCATCTACTGAATTCACTCATTTACAGAATGCCTATTACGCGGCATTGTTCTAGGATGTAAGTAAAGGCTGTGTATGGGCAGAGATTCGGCCTGCTCCCCTCCCAGACTTTATGCTGGGAGGAGGGATAGACGTGAAACTCACAAGCTTTACAGACGATGCTCGGGGCTGCCGATGGGCGCCCTGAGCCCTGCAACGCCAGGAAGGAGAGAGACCGGCCCGCCTCAGCAGCGCCCAGTGTCTCTTGAATGAAGGAGGAGCACATAAACCATTCGAAGGAGGGGAGCTACACTATCTGATTTCCATTTTGAAATGGTTGTTACACATTCATTTTTTTGAAAAAAAAAATAGATGATCTATGCCTTCATGAAAATTCAAACAGCATTCAGGAGAAAATACCAAGAGAGAGAAAAAAAGGCGCTTGGCGGAAGGCCACCAGAAAAGCAGCCCTGCAAATGGTTTAGCAAATCTCTTGTCAAGCATCTTTCTCCCTTTTCCCATCCTCCCTCCCTCTCCCTCTCTCTCTCTCTCTCTTTTTCTGTCTGCCCCTGTCTCCCTTTATAAATATATAAAAACATTTTACGCAAGTGGATTCAAGCCATTCATGCTGATTTGTAACCTGCTTTTTTCCTGCTCTTTGTAATTTTATGCTCATTGTAAACTTTCCACAGTGGGCATATATTACTTTTATAATCCCGGACAGAAAAGAAAGCAAAAGACCACAAGAAATAAAATGAAACCCACAAATACAGGATGAGGGCTCCCTGGCCAAGCAGTATGACTGTAAAGAAAGGCTTTGAGGTTTCGCTGGCCACAGACTCAGCAGGAGCTGACGGCATGATGCGGTTTCTCCTCTCAGCTCAATTCACCGGACGGACCGTTCCCTAGCAGAAGACCATGTGAACAGGCTTCTCTGGGCTAACTCCGGGTCTGCTCAACCCTCTCCTTTATAGCTCTCCAAGCACCTGGTAGGTCTAAACCCAGGATGATACCCGCATAACAGTTATGTTTCATGAGCACTTAGGACTTTACCCCAACCAGTGTTCCAGGATCTTTACATATATTAACTTATGTAATCCCCCAGTGACCCATGGCATGGATCTCATTGTTATTCTCAGTTTATGGAGGAAGAAACTGAAGCCCAGAGAAGCTATAGAGTTTTCCTGAGGTCACACAGCTTAATAAAGCAGCACCAGAAATACCAAGAAGAACAAACCCCAGGTCTGCCCTCAAAGAATTAACAGCTGCCATCACTTCACATTAATTCATTCAACCAACATTCTCTGTTTAAGGCCCTCGAATACATTCACTGTTCGAGGATTTTGTGAATACATTCTCTCAGCCTGCCTTAACGGTTGTTTCATCTGTGTAGGCATCCAAGTAATTTTTACGGGGCACCGTGACCACCAATTTGAATGGATTAAGGGTGAAAGGAGCACAGCTCTTCCGGTGTCTGTGGGTGACTGACAGGTAGGCGGGAAGAAGAACCGGAAGTGTGTGGCACTGACCAATGGGCTCGTAGCCTGGATGGCATTAAAAGGGAAGGAACCAGGAAGTCGCTGCTGTGCTTTGGAGGCGCTCTGCTCTTCTGCCCTGCCTTGGGGGACCTCTTGACTTTCTAACACAGGACTCGCACGGACTCTGCAGCCTTTGACCTTCACCTGGGTCCTCTAGCTCTCTGGGGCTCAGATGGCCTTTGGATTCTTTACCCTGCTCCATAGGCGCCATTGTGGGCGCCTTCATATGATCATGTGTGTGTGCATGTGGATGTCTACACTAAATCAGTTCCTCGAGTAAAACCTGGCTGATGCGAGCACCAATCGCACACCTGACACAGTGTGAGACCAGAAAACGGTGGTGAACAATGGTGGTGCACAGTTGACCTCGTAATGAAGACAGAGATAAATATACTAATGAAGCATGAGATACATGAACTGAATGTGGAAGAGGACTGAAGTAGAGAGGGCTGGAACTGACTGGGTGAGATATGAGCGGGAAGAAAGTGTTAGACATTTAGAGAAGCCAGTGGGGACGGCCTTTTGGATGTGGTGCCTGTGGAACAGTGATCTGAACAGAGAGAGGAAGCAAGTCTTGGGAACATGTGGGGAATGTAATCCTGACATGAAGAACAGCAAGTGCAAAGGCCCTGAGGCCTGAGAACGTTTGAAAGGGCCACAGAACACCAAAGAGGCAAATGGGCTGGGAACACAGTGAGAGGCAGAACTATTGGCTGGACAGCAGGGTCAGTGACACACCAGGAATGCAGCCAGCAGGTAAGATTGCACAGCAGGAGTGCTGGGGAGGGGCACTGCAAGTGGATGGGACGGCAAGGGAAGGAGAGGCAGGACGCCTTGGGGCTGGGCCCAGCAGCCTGTGTGCCATCTCCTGAGGAGCAGGAGACCGAAGGAGCAGCTGCTTTCAGGGCTCAGACTGGCTTCAGATGCGGGGGCACACCTCTGAGGGGGCCGGATGTTCGAGTCCGGAGCCGGTGGATGGGAAAGCTCTGGACATTTGGGAGATGTCACTGCAGAGACTCTGTCTGCGACCTCAGACTGCATGAGCCCCCTGGGGAGGGAGTGTAGACAGAGCCCCAGGAAAGAGTGTAGACAGGGCCCCCAGAGGGAGTATAGAAAGGGCCTGGGATGCTCCACCATTTATCTCTTTGGAAGAGGAGACAGAGACAGATTCCAGAAAGGAGTGGCAGCAGCCGCCGGGAAGGAGGAGGAAACCCAGGAGTGGGGCGTCCCGGAAACCCAGCGTCTAAGGCAGGAGAGAGATGGACTTTGTCAAATGCTGCTGAGAAGCTGGGCACGGTGGCGCACGTCTGTGATCCCAGCACTCTGGGAGGCTGAGGCAGGAGGATTACAAATTCACATCCAGCCTGGGCAATTTAAGGACTTTGTGAGGTCCTGCCTCAAAAATAAAAATTAGAGAAAGGACTGAGATGCAGCTCAGTGTGAAAGCTGCCAAGAAGGAGCAGAAGGTGAGGCCCAAGGCCTACACCCTCAGCCATGGGAAGCTTCTTCCTGGGAGGTGTCCTTTTACTGATGTCCCCCAAGAGACCCCGCAGTCCCAGTTTCAGGCTGCAGCCACAGATCCTGCATCAGCCCTCAGGCCCTGTCTGCCCACATCTGGGCTCCAGCCTCTGCATACCATGAGGCACTCAGCGGGATGAGCTGCCTTGTGCTTGGAGCCTCTCCCAGAGGCCCTGCTGCAGTGTCCCCAACCTCCACCCACCCTATGGTGACACCTGAGTGACAGCTCTGGGCATGGACCAGCATCCCCTCCTCCAAAGAGTGCCTTGAGGTTAATCAATGCACAGGCACTCAGGCTCGTGGCTGTCACTGGGAACCAGTCCCTCCCTCTGCACATTCGGCCCCCCAGGGGCTGCCTCGCCTTCCTCCCCATGCTCAGCCACGCTTCCTCCCCATCAGTCAGCCCTCCCCACCCCTCAGCATGCTGTCCCCACCCCCTGCCAAGGGGGCAAGCCAATAAAGGACAGAAGCTTTCGGGAGCTACGGTAGCGATTGTGACGATGATGATGATGGTGGTGGTGGTGACGATGATGACCTGGCTCTGTTTCTTCACACCCGACACAGGGCAACTCCCAAACTGTCCGGGCTGCAGCCCTAAGGTCGGTGTCCTCCAAGAGGCAGTGGCCGGCCCTGACCTCAGCTAAATACCCAGCAGTCCTACTGTTGGTTTAGCGTGTGCCTGGTTTGAATTCAGCATCTCCCGCCCTCCAGCCTGACAGCCTCCCTCTTCCCCAGGTGACAAGTGTCCATATAACATCAGTGTTGCAGGTAAGAAAAGGTTGATTTGATAAGGAAAGAATGGATTTCCAGGCACATAGCTCAGCGGCAAAGCCCCTGCCTGGCTGGCAAGCATGAGGTCGTGGGTTTCAAGAGTCAATCGAGAGCTGTAATCACAGCACTCTAAGAGACTGAGGCCAGAGGCTTGCAGGTTTGAGCCTGACCTTTCTCAAGAGGAGGAAGAAGAGGGGAAGAAAAAGAGGCAGAAAGAGGAGGAGGAGATGAAGAATGTGAGGGAGGAGGAAACAGAGGGGAGAGACTAGAAACGCCTGCTAATGCTGTGCCACCCTGTGTTCCCAGGGAAACTTCAGCTGGGGCTGTGCGCGGGGCCAGGTCGGGGCTGGGAAGCAGGCTCTCTGCTCCCCGGAGCCCCGCTCATGAGGAGGCCCAGCAGGACTCTGCTCGTGGCAATCGTGGCACCTGGCATGAGCCTCAGAGGTGCCAGGGACTTCGAGTGTCTCATGGTGGGGATGTGGCAGCCTCTGCATTCTTGTGGTGTGAGGCGGAAATCTGAGATAATAAAGAAAGGGGAAAAAAAAGACAGAAACAAGAAAGAAAGAAAAAGTGAGGAAACAGTAAAATGCTAACATCTCACAGGCGCCAGGCTGAAATTGCTAATGAGTCCGGATTCTGCAGCGCCCAGCGCTGATGCAAACCAGACAGGCCCGCGCCGGGCACCTCCGAGCCCAGCCCCGCCTGCCCACGTCAGTGCTGTGGCCCCTGCTTTGCCTGCTTTTGCGCACTTGAGGGGTTTTAATTTTAGCTTGTTTCTTGCTAAGTGCTCTTGCTCATTGGGGTAATCAACTCTAATTACATTTTGGTCGTTATGCTCTGAGTTTACCCGCTTCTAAGTCTGCTGACTTGCTTGTATCTTAGGAGCAGGTTAACATCGGAGATGCCGGAACAAATGATCTGCATTTGAAATCACTTCACCAGGACTCACTGTGCAACCCCAGGCAGAGCGTGGAGCTCTCTGTGCCTTAGCTTTCCAGCTTTAACACGGAGAATCATGATTGGGGGGACCGTGGCGCATGTCCCATGCCTGGAACGTCAGCCTGGGGGTCCTGCAACTTAGCAAGTTCCGGTCCAGAACTAAAAAGGACTGGTTGTAGCTCAGTGTGAAGGCCCTGGGTTCAAACCCCAGTGCGCAAAAAAGTAATAATATTAAAAGAAAAAAGTGAAAAAGAAGAGATGGGGATAGTTTCTACCTCCGAAGGTTGTTAGAATTCAGTGAGCTGGTTGTGTCAGACCCTGGAGGCCAGGCAAGTGCTCAGTAGCAGCCCTGTGTACCTTGAAGCATTTCGTTTGTTTGAGTATTAACAGCCTTTCCTGCCTCAGTGCTGTGCTGGGAACTGGGGAAACACAGGCAAACACAGCAGACGGTCCTGTCTTACAGGAAAGGCAGACCAGCCAGGAGGATGACAGCACAGTGCATCACTGGACAAGACACAAGGCCCTTTGGAAACAGAACAAGGGTTCCTGAGCTAGTCAGATGCAATCAGCCATGGCTTCCTGGAGGAGGTGCTGTCCCAGTCCAGGCCTGAAGGACAAGTGGATGAGGGGCTGTAGGACTAGGTGCTCCAGGTAGAGGGAACAGAGTTGGCAAAGGCTCAGAGGCCAGACACCAGGCTGCTCCCAGGGAATAGTGGGCAGTGCTGGGACATTGCTTGTGAGAAGCAGGCAGCTGGAGGATGCAGGGCCAGGCTGTGGGGGTCTCCTGAGCCACCAATACTGGGCTCACAAGTGTAAACTCGAGGATGAGGTTGAGCTGAGCCTTATTTTTATCTCCTTTTTCATTCATGAAACAGAACACTCATAGGATCAGTAGGCAAAGTTCTCAGCTTGGAGCAGTACTGTGTGGAGGTTAAGCATTTGCATTCTGGGTCCAGGGTGTAGTTCAAGGTCAGAATGATTGGGTTCCTAACCATCCAAGAGTAGGTAAGTTACTGCAACCTTCTGAGCCTCCATTTCCTGGGCTGCAAAATGGGACACACTATAGGTTTGGTCTTAAATATCCTCCAAAGTTTCATGTGTTGAAGGCTTAGTTCCCAGCCTATGGGAACAGTTGTGAGGTGGTGAAGGCTTTAGGAGGTGGAACCCAGAGGTTAAATCACTAGGTTGGGGGAGGTGACGTGGAAGGGGACACAGGCACCCCAGCGCCTTCCGCTCTCTCTTGGTTTCCTGGCCACCATGATGTGAAACGTGTACCTCGTTCTCCCACTAACATGGACTTCACAGGCTCAGTGCAACAAGGTCAAGCAACAATGGACTGAGCCTTCTGAAACTGTAAGCCAGGACGAACCTCCCTGCTTGAAAGTCGATTCTCTTGGGTATTCTGTCACAGTGGCAGAAAGCCAACAAACCAAGAGATCAGCCACCTAGTGTTGTAAGAATAGAGTCTATATAGAAGGGACCCAACAGTTCCTGCAAGAAATAAGTTCTCAACAAAATAACAACACAGGCCATTATTAGAACTTCCAGCTGGGCCAAGTGGCACACACTTGTAATCCCCAGACTCAGGAGGCTGAGGCAAGAGGATTGCCATGAGTTCAAGGCCAACCTGAGCTACCTGGTGAGTTCAAGGCCAGTCTGCACTATATAGCAAGACCCTGTTTCAAAAAGAGAGAGAAGAGAGAGAGAACTTTCTCCACACAACCAGTGCCTTTGCAGCTCCTACCTTGTTAAATCATCTTTTTAATTTTCAAATGAAAAAACTTTATTTATGGCATGGCGTGGTGTTTCGGTATATGAACCATCATGGAATGATCAGGTCAATCCGCGCAGCATCCCTGTTACCTCACATGTTTATTGTTATTTGTGATGACAACATTCAAAATGGACTCTCACAGGTACAACACACGATGGTTGTGGTCACCGTATGGTACAGTGGAACCCCGGGACTCATTCCTCCTCCCTAAGACACGGGACCCTGAGCTAGCATCTCCCCGGCCCAGGCCCTGGTGAGCACCACCCTGCTCCCTGCTTCCCTGAGCCTGACTCTTAGATCCCACAGGTGGGTTCGACCGTGCATTTCTGTCTCTCTGTGCCTGGCTTACATCACTTAACATAATGTCTTCCAAGCTCATCCATGCTGTCACAAATGACAGGATCGCCTGCTCTCTTCACGCTGGGTACAGTTGCATTTGTGTATGCACATTTGCTTCATTCATTCATTCCCTGGGGGGTGCTAAGGTTAGTTTCGCATCTTAACTACTGCGAATGGAGCTGTGATCAACATGGACACACAGATGTCTCTTGAACACAGTGATTTCATTTCCTTTCCACGTATACGCACGGGCAAGATGGCTAGATCACGTGGGTAGTTCTATTTTTAAGGCTTTGAGGAACTTTCATTCTGTTTTCCACTAAGACTGCTAATCTGCATTCCCATGCACAGTGAGTAAGAGTTCCCGTCTCAGCATCCTTCCCACCGAATGATCCAGCAATCTGGAGACAAAGAAAGCAGAACATCAAAGAGACATCTGCACTCCCCCGTGATCACGGCGCTATTCACAAAAGCCCAGATTCTGGATCAACCTAAGTGTCCATCAACAGATAAATGGATGGGAAAGAGTGGACTCTGTATGCCATAAAAAGAATAAAAATCCTGTCATGTGCAGCGACGTGGATGAGCCCAGAGGACATTATGGCCCGTGAAATGAGTTGGGCAGAAAGACAAATTCTGCATGTCCTCACTCAAATGCGAAGGCTGCAAATCAAAGTTGATCCCATAGAAGCAGAGGGTAGAATGCTGGTGCCAGAGGCCAAGAAGAGGAGGGACTAGGGAGAGACACAGCTCACAGGTGCACGAGTGGAGTCAGCTGGGGAGATGAAGTCCCAGTGAGCCACGGGAAGTGAGGTGACCACTGTGATTGTTTAGATCTGTAACAGCTCCCAAAGTCTCAGGGTTCCGAGGTGGGCCTTTTGGAAGGTCACTATATCCTGAGCGTTCTGACTTCAGTGTGGGTTAATCCATAAGTGAGATCATAATTTGATGGCATTATTGGGAGGTGATGTATACTTAGGAGGAGCAGCCTAGGTGAATGGAGTGGGTGATGGGGGCATGACCTGGGGACTCTGTCTTGTCCCTTGCCCCTTCCTCTCAGGCTCTCTCAACCTCTCTGTTTCCTGGTTGCCATGAGCTGAGCATCTTTCTACCTCCACACTGTTATGCCATGATGTTTCCATCATGCCGTGAGCACAAAAGCACTGGGGTCACTCAGCCATGGACTGAACTCTCCAAAACCATGAGCCACAATAACTCTTTCCTCCCTTAAATTGTGAGTATTGAATATTTTGCCACAGCAACGGACAGCTAACACACTACCATTAACAATAATTCATCGTAAACTTCAAAATAACTAGAAGAGGATTTTGAATGTTCCTAACACAAAGAAATAATAAATGATGCGGTAAAGGATACACCGTGTAACTTGCTTTTGGTCATTACACATGGTGCACATGTACCAGATTATCCCAGGGTTGCATGAATATGTACAATTATTATGTATCAATCAGAACTTATTTTAAAGACCAGAAAAATATAACTATAAATATTGCAAATAAAGGGGTTGAGACCAGGGGGCAGGGAGGACTCCAGGCCACACAAGGTCATGTCCCTGAGGGCTGACACCAAAAGGGATGTAATAAACAGCCTTCTGGTGATTCTCCACTCTGGACCAGAGCGTGCCATTGGCTCAGGGCTCTGGGCTTAGCAGCAGAGCTGGGAGCAGATTCAGGACCAGGGTTAAGCGTGAGTTTTAAGACTGTGGCTACCATGGGTTTGAAGTCAGGCAAAGGCTGGGCTGAGGCTGTGATGCCATCCAGTTTGACCCATTGGTAAAGCTGGGGTCAGGGCAGTTGTGGGCTGCTGCTGAGGTCAGCTGGCTGAGGACCCAAGGAGGCCTGGGCATCTGCTGCTGTCCACCTGACTTGAAGCCAGATTAGGATTGGCTTTGGGTTTGAGCTAAGGTTGGATGAGGTAACAGAGGGACAGAGCCTAGGACACCCTTCCTCCTGTCATACCTTCTGGACAGAAATCCCCACCTGCTCCGTGCCTGCTCCGTGGGTACTTCCCAGAGCTGGCTGCAGCCCACAGGAGCCCAGTAAAAACCCCACCTAACCTGGCATGGCAGAGACAGTGTGGCACCTGGGAGCTGTACACTCTGCCTCGCCAGTCTAGGGGATCAAGATTTGCACCTCCTGTCTTCATAAATGAAGCAGATCAAAGGAGACCTTTTTTGCAGAGGTGCCAGTGCCTATCAGGGTGGGCCTTCCAGAGCTGCCTTGGCATCCGTGGTAGAGTAACCTGTCCTCCCCGCCAGAGTGCTGCGAAGGGCTGCCAACAAGGCTCACGAGAGGGATTTTTAAGGACGAAATGAGGCAACACCCGTCGGTCCCTGTGTCCGGCCCTGAGTGCCACTCTGTAGTTGGCAGCCTTCAGCCTTTCCGGGGAGGGACTCAGCCCCTCCGGCGCAGAGGGTACACTCACAAAGCCCCACTCGTGCTCTCGGGAAAGAGCACGCAGCCCACAGTCTCACCCCACTGCTTGTCCTTGCTCACCGTGAATTATTAAGGGTCCTGGCTGGACAGATTTCCCAGGTGAAGAGGGCGCCAGTGCTGACCCTGACCCTGGCTCCTGAGGGCTGGGTGGGCCAGATGTAGCAACACACAGTGACGTTATTCTACAATGTTTGATGTGTGCTGATAACTTTTAAATCATTTAAGAATAATTTATATACCACAGAGTTCACAACGCAGTGGATTTCTTTTATTCCCAAGATTATGCAACCACCACTACTATTTAATTCCAGAATATTCCATTGCTTTGAAATCACTCAGCGCACCCTGTTCAATCAGCCCCTGGCAACTAATAATATCCTGTCTCTGTGAAATGGCCTATTCTGGACATTTCGTATGAAGGAAAGCATGGAGGATGTAGTCTTTTATGAATGGCCTTTTTTCTTAGTGCAGTGTTTGCAACTGAGGTCCATACAGCAGCATTGTGAGGACATGATTACTTTTCATGGCTGTATAACATTTCACCATGTGAACCTATCACAGCTTTTTACCCATGCACAGAGTATGATTTTTAGTTCACACAAGACAGTACTAAAGCCTCAGTGTTCCCAGAGAGAGAGAGAGAGAGAGAGAGAGAGAGAGAGAGAGACCAGGGCAGAACTAGGAAGAGGGACTGTGTCTAGATGGGAGATATGCGGCCCAAGGACATAAGTCTCTGGCTTTGTCTACTCCCAAAGTAGACAAAGCATTGTCTGGAGTCTAAGCATTGCACCTGAGAGCATTCTAGAAATTCCTGGAGTCTAAGCATTAAGCATTACTGCTATCTAAGAGTCTGAGTTTTCCATCACCTTTGACTCGAATCCCAGGTGACTGTGGTACTTCTGGAGTAGATCAGTAACCACAGTGTTGAGGCAGGCACAGTATGTGCTCCACAGTTAGACAGATAAGTGATAGATTTGATGGATGATTGGATAGAGGGATACAATTGGGGTGGATGAGTGGGTGGGTGGGTGGTTGGGTGGTTAGATGGGTGGATGGATGAGTGGATGGATGCATAGGTGGATAGATGGGTAGATGGAAGGATAGGTGGATGGATGGATGGATGGATGGATGGATGGATGGATGATTAGATTGGTGGATAGAGTTGGTGCCAGAGTCTTGCCAATGTCCAATTAACACATGGGAGAATGATACACTTCACCTGGACAGAAACCCTACCATGAGACCCAAGAGCCAGAGGACCTTTTATTTCATATGTTGCAACTCCTGAGGAGGAGGAATAGGAAGCATTGATCAGAATGACCCAGGCTTGCTTGGCCCACCACTGCGAGCGAGGAGATGGCTGAACAGGGGAGCCAGCCTGTTCCCACCCGGCGCATGACTTGTGGGGGAAAGCAGCCCCACTTGTCAGCTGGCAGGCCAGGGCAGAGCACGGGGTGGTGTCTCTGCCAACTGGACACCCCACATTCTCTTCCCCACACCAGGCCATTTCCTGGTTCCTAAGCTCAGCAGAGTCTCATGTAAACCAGATGAGTCACTGCCGGGCCCCAAGAGTCCCATCTAGGACAAGGAGATGGTCACCCTGACCACATGTCTGTTTGATGTTTGCTTGAGAGTGGAGAGAGAGAGAGAGAGAGAGAGAGAGAGAGAGCACATTCTCACAGCAGAAAGGCCAATGTGTCTTGTCTGCAGCCTCGCCCTCCCCTGTCCAGCTGCGGCTTGTCAGGTGTACGAGGCACCAAGATAAGCTGGTTTTGACACGCTGCAGATGCCTTCCTACCTCCCAGGGAGGTTGTGACAGCCCCGTGTGACAGAGACAATGACATTCAACACCTGGGTAGCAGCTCCTGTGTGTTAAAGCCTGCATGCTTGGCACATGTGGGTACCGGGGCCTGGTGGTCACTTCCGCCAAATAACCGCAAGCTCCATAGCCCAGTGTCCTTAGCTGCCCCCATCCCTTCCGCCTGCCAGAGGGAAACAGAAGGTAACCCCAGCTCTGCCCTGCCCAGGCTGGGCCACCCGGAAGTCTGTCCTCCCTGGACCTCAGTCTCCTAGCAGCAGAGAATGAGACAGCTGGGGGACAGTGAGAGAGACCAGCAATGAGGCCCTGGCCCTTGGGGACTAAGCAAGGGGTAGAAACTTCTGTGCGCTGCTTTGTAAATAAAGTTTTATTGGGACTCAGTCACAGTCATGAATGTGTCATCACATTGCAGTGGCAGGGCAGAACACCTGGGAGGGGCATGGAATGGCCTGTAAGATCTAACCTATTAATTCAGGAAGATGTGGCCAGCTCCTGCCATGCAGCCACTGTCCCCAGGTCCTGGTGCTATGTCTGCTTCCCTTCCTGGGAGCTTCCCCCCAAAACGTCTGGTTCCATACATTCCATCAATCTGGGGTGAGGCCTGGCTCTTGTCTCCTTTTTGACAAAGGTTCCTGATGATTCAGAGACTAAGCCAGACTTTGAAACACACCAGGTAATAAAGACAGTCAGACGGACCTGAGATCGAGTCTCCTCCCCCCCAATTCCCAATCCCTGTGTGACCATGGACAAGTTGATTAAACTCTCTGAGCTTTGGCATCCTGGCAGTGCCCATCTATGAAAGTGACAGGGAAGATTAAAGAAGGTCATATGTACAAAGCGCCCAGCCAGGCCTGGCATAGGGCAGATGCTCTGGGGTTTTTTTGTGGTTTATTTTTGCCCCCTTTGTGCAACCTAGAAGGTTCTCCTCTAACCCCTGGTGTGCTAAGCCTCGCCTCATGCACGCTGTAGTCCCACAGCATCTCTCAGGGGCACCCTGCCTGCTTCCCTGTGGGGGGCCCTGTCCCAGCAGGGGGAGGTGCAGAGCAGCAGGGTGCCAGCTGGCAGCCCCTGGAGTCCTTGGTCCACAGCACTGAATGCATGGCTCTGTGTTGACACATTTGCTCTCACAGTATTTGCTTTCTGTGGCCACTATTTGCTCAGAGGCTGACGTCGGATGGGGACAATCAACTCACCACTCGTGCTTTCAAAGAACAACGTCAGCCCTGCCCTGTCCCCTCCCTGGCATGAGACCAGGAGAAAGGCAGATTCTGGTCCCAGCCTGTTGCTACCCAGCCAGCAAACCTTGGGCAGCTCTGGTCCCCTCCCTGACCCCCAGGCTGCGGGGTTCCCAAGTTCACCTGCCTGTCCACCCTCCATCCTGCCCCTGCTGCAGAAGGACAGGGGCGAGAAGGCACTGTGGACACTAAGTCACACGGCTACTCCTCCACAGCCACGCCAATGGCACGAGCCTCACTCATCAAGACAAAATAACAGACTCAAAATGACGAGGCCTCCTTCGGGGCCACGGCACAGAGGTGCCGCAGGTACCGTGCTCCTGGCCTCTCAGGAGCCCTGAAAGGGTCCCCCGGCCCCATCCCTTCTAGCCATCCGCTGCTTCCTCTTGCAAGAACTCAGACAAGTTTCAAGAGAGACCATCTGCACCCCAGGCCTGGTCTGCACCCAGAGAGGAGGAAGAATTGTGCACAAGGCCAAGGGCATAGGAAACTGGAAACACTGACCGCAGAAAGGTGTGTCCATATCAAGAACACGGAGATTGGGCACAGCGGTGCCCGTGCTCCAGCTACTCAGGACTGGGAGTCCCAAAGGCCACTCTCCTCCCACGGAAATGGTTTCTAGAGTACTCTTTGGAGGCAATGACAATAAATACATCTGAGTTCTGCAAATGTGCTTTCCCGTGTACAGCACTCTTTACAACTGTCCCATAAGGAGGCAGACAGTGCAGTCCCCATTTCTCAGATGTGAAGACGGAGGCCCAAAGAGGTGAAGCCGCTTACTCTGAGCTTCCTCCAGGTCCTCACCCTGAAGCCCAGCGTGCCCTCCAATCCTGGCCAAGGCTCTGGGGCTT